CATGGCTGTTGTTTCTCTTTTAGCATTGGTATTTCTCCAGGGCAATATCAGCCCATGGTCTGATTGTGTGTCAAGGTCCTGCTGATTAATAATAGTTACTAGGCATGTATTAATACATTTGTTAGCCTGTGATTAATTGTGGGGTTTTTCTGGTTAACTTTTCAAATATGTTTGGCTACTAAGCAAGAAAACATTTCAAAAATGGAATTCATTTGCAGTGATATTTGAAGCTAATTAAAAACATGTCCTTAATGATTCTAGATTGTATGTATAATTATTGATATGTTCTTGATGAATGCAACACAGGTGTATGATTTTACTATTACTTCTGCTTCTATGTATTTATAAGCAGATTTGATTTCAAAAGGAAGTGGTAACGGCCAGCTTTGATGTTTCTTTTACTTTTCATTAGCTTTATATTCAAATAGAAAATGTTCAAAGGGCTATAAACTGCCTATCCCAGTTTATCTTATCACCAGTCAGAATAGGCTGCTGAACTTGATGTTGGTCAGGTTGAATTGCTCTGTAGGGAGAAAATCTTGCTATAGATTTTGAGTAAGAAATAAAAAAAAATATATAGTTTTGCTTTTTGAATGTCGCTGTTTGACTTTCAGGCATATGCAAGCTTAATGGTCTGCCTGTCTGTATCCTTTTCTCCTGGAATGACAGCTTAACACTTTTCCTGGTTGGATTGTGTTAAAATCTTTAAAGGCTACATTCACTAAAACATATGTCCAATGTTTGGGCAGCCAAAATCTGTGCAATCATTTTAATGGAGTATAACTTAGCAACTCGGCTGTTACCACAGATATCTTATTGTTAAAGCTACACTAAAATAGCCTCAATTTGGAGTCCATTATTTCTTATTTAAATTTTTCTGGGGTGTGCTGAAGTATACTTTTGCACTATCTTAAAAATGGACTCTGCTAAGAAAGCAATAGCTTAAGTAAACAAGGACATACTTAATATAGTTATTTTAGTAGATTTTTATCTGACTTTTCTTGAGTGTGCCATATTCAGAGCATTGTGCTAGGCATCCTGCTTGGATAACTCGAAGTGATGGCCGTTAGTAATGACGTCTGGGCAATGGGGAGAGGTCGTGGCGTGGCCATATCAGGGACAAGGTGTCGTCAGGGTTCCATGGGCACAGGGGTACCAGGATCTGTCTGTTGAAGACAATGTCATCATGTGTTCAGTGTTGATTTCGACAGCTCCTCTTGTGCTAGGATGCTGCTGATGCCCGGAGGAGGGGATGATTCACTGAAAGAGGGAGAATCTGTGGAGAAATCCGGGACAGACCAGTGCTGACTGACTTAGCAGCCACAGGCTGTTTCACTCCTAGCCTTTCAGAATTGTTTACGCTTTCTTGACAGATCTTCTCAATCCCTTGCAAGGAACAAAGCCCTTTTGTTTTGTGGTAAGATGACAGAGAGCAGTTATTCACAGTCCTCATCTTTAGTGGGCTCAGCTTTCCCTGGTGCCATTTGTCACCTCTAACTCCATCTGCCCAAGGCCAGAATCCTGGAGCGGGGCTTAGTGGCGAGAAGTTGGAGAAGCAGATACTGGAAAATCCAGCCTTACGTGATCTTTCCTGGCTTTGATAGCTTCAGCTTTCGTATTGAAAAGTTATATAAACCCTTTTAAATTTTTTTCAAGAAATACATTTATCTGAGAAGAAAACTGGAAAACTTTAAAAATTATTTTCTTCTAAAGAAAATGAATTTTAAAGTCTTATTAGTATTTATATCTATAGTTATTTATTTTAAAAAGGTTAATAGCTATCTCCATTGAAAAGCACTATATTAAGTTTTACTAAGTATGTCAAAATGCTGAATTTGGCTAGGAAAATTTCCTGGCAGTTGTATATCATTGTGCCTAAATGTATGAAAATTAAATGCCTGTTAAAGTTGACAAAAATATGTAGTTTAATCAGAATAGCTAATTGTCACAAAGACTAGAAAGAGTAACACTCCTAAATTTTGCAGATTTGTAACAATCTCATTATCATAATGTTAAGTATTAATAATTTCCAAGATAATATAGAAAAGAAGCAATCTTCAGAAATTTTAGTGAATTAAAATTGTGAATGATAAAGAGCACATACCAAGTTGAATTTGTTTTATACCTTACAAAATCATTGAATTATGTTTATAGACTCAGTCTTTAATAATGTGTGTTAATTCTTTGAGGGTGAGACTGAAAATATCAGTGTTATTTCCAAATTTTGGCATTTTTCAGAATTTTGGTGTAACTTTATTTTATACATTTTAATACTTTTCAAATATCAGAGATAATTTTAAGAAGCAAAAATGAAACTTAGGTGCTTTCCAAGTTAAGTGAAGTAATCAATGTAAAATGCTCAGCTTAGAGCCTAACACATAGCAACTCCTGTGACAATCAGTTTGTTTCTGATTATGATCATTATTTCTGACTCCTCTCTTCTTGCCGCACTGTTTCTTTCTCACTGGTTTGTATAACGTGACAATTTCCATAAATTCACAGCATTATTACTTTTCATTGTGTCTACCCTCTAGCTCTTGGTGTTTTAGAAATTTCTGGAATTATTTCCATAATGGCCAACATAACTCCTGATCCAAGAACACACATTTATATAACACACATACAGAGGTGTTGAAGAACTTCACCTTATCTGATACCAATAGCTTATCTCCCATTTTATCTAGGATCCAACAGCTTGAGGGTCAAGGGATCAAGAGACGATCTGGATATGATCCTGATGTGCAGCAGAGCGTACAGAGGCTGGCGTGGGAAGGCTGACTCCTCTGTCATTGGTGTGCCTGTTTGCTGCTCGAGTTTGGGACCTCAAGGTTCCCTTGTATCTTACTAGTCCTAAGATACCATAAAAAAACATTGTTATGTTTTTTGAGGCGATTATGACTGCAACGTAACATGTATTTGTTACCTTCAGCATTAATTCAAGGGCTTTCCCTTTATTTTTATTTTAGACTTTCAACAATATAAAAATACTTTTAAAAAGTTTTGATGGTTTGGAATGAATCTGTTGAGCTTGTTTATGTACACGTCAGCTCAATATACACAGCTATGTTCATTGGTGCCCCCACTGCTGTGGGGGTGGTTTTTCCACAAAAATGTGGTTATATTGTTCTGCAACCTGCTTGTTTCACCAGTTAACTTATCATGGGCAATGTTCTGTGTCCTCAGTCTTTTTCATGGCTGCCTAATACTCTATAGTGTTGATGGATCTTGGTTTATTTAGCCTTTCTTCTGCTGAAGGACACTCAGAAGCTCTCTGGATTTCATCTGCTTACACATCACGTTGCATGAACGCCAAGGGTTGGAAGCTTTTGTCCTGGGTACATCTGTGCCTAGTTATTCCACTACACTCTGCAGGTTATAGGAAGCCTAGGCTGTTTGCCCTGGTTGCTTATTGGCCTTCTGGGACCATTCTAAAGGTTGTCATTTGATCTTGGATAGGCCTCACCTCAGATAGAAAGTACCAATTCTGTTGTGTTGGGTTTTAAGGTAACCTTAGTATTTTTATAGATGTTTCTCATTTCGACCCACTAGAAATTTAAGATGCACTGTCTAGCTGGGGTGGATTTTGGTTATGTCATCCTTAGACATTTTTATGTTTGCAGAGTTCTGAGTTTCAGAGCCGTGAGAGAGGTCTGATTGTCAAATCTGTTGTTTCAATTGGTGGTCTTTAAAGTCAAAACATCTTTTTAGAGATTACTTTGAGAATATATTTGTTTTTTTGTGATTGTGGAATATTTTTGTATCCTTATATTTCTAACTAGGTGCACTGAAATTTAATTTGTGACTTTGACAATTGGTGTAATTAATCACAGTCATAAAATCCAAATAACAATATTCCAAGGTTAGCATTTTATTGGGGGTGGGGATGGTATTCATTAAGGTGTTCATAAAATTTTATGTTCTTCAGTCACTATTTACTTAGTAGATACAGTAACTTATTTTTGTCATGGCTACTGGCCATATTGTGGAGTTTAACATCTGCTGGCTGAAACTGCTGCATACTTTTAAAATTCTAAACTCTAATTGCCTAGAATGAAGGAAATCTTTTGATTTATATACATATTTTTGCTTGGAAGATTTCATATCCGTACAATAGTAATGTAGAATTTAAAGAAGGTGATATCAAATTATTAGAAATATACAGGAGAAATTGCTACTTCTCTTTGGTAATATGGTAATTGTTCAACATATTTTCAGCAATAACTCGCTGTTGATTTTAATATTTTTTACCTTCCAACACAGCTGGCATCCCGCTATGATGTCATAGCTATACTTTTTGTTTTATTATTGTACAGAGTATATCGTGCACAGTGTGAACAACCACACTGAGCCAGTATTGAGAATACGTTCTTATTGTTTATGACATTTTCTACGGTAAAGTGGAGTTGTGATTGTTAACCAGATTTTAATGCACATGAACGAAGAGGGTTCTAACCCTTTGACTTCTGCAGTGATTCTTCCTGTATGTTTCTTGGAATATCTCCACGCCCGAGCTTTCCCTTTGCCACAGCTTTTACATGCTATTTTTGTGTTTTCCTTCTCCATACAGCACTGTTTCCTAAGACTGATTGTTTATATACAAATATATTCAAATATATACAAATATAAATAAAAGCACTTTCGTTCTTAAAGTTGAAGAAAAAAATGATGTTGAAATATGAAAATGTGGAATACAGTAATTCAGTTTATAACACCAAAATTTTTTATAACTCTGGGAATGCTTTTTAATGACATGCATAGAATTACAAATCTCATATTTCTTTTGTGCTAGGATTATAAACTGTATTGAAAAGTTTTTTAATAGTTCAAAAATTAAATGACTGTCCAGTTGAAAGGGAGTTGTAACTTATTTGGCATAAAATTGAATTACTAATTTTTAATTATTTATTGAATTTAAATAATTTTTATTAGTTAATCAAACCACCACCATATACTTGAAATATGTATTCTCTTCAACATCAGGTTTTCCTTTTCTTTTTCAGTCTGTGATCAAAACAGGGCGCCTGCTGATCAGTCACGAGGCTCCCTTGACGGGCGGCTTTGCTTCAGAGATCAGCTCCACAGTTCAGGTAGAGTAACTTCTTGGCACTGATTTTAACATCTGTGTAATTGCATGTGTCTGTTCCAAGAAGAAAAATTACTTATCACAACATATAAAATATGCACTTTTTGGAAATGCATATTTTCCCTTTGACTCCACTTCACTGTCTTCTAGTTAATGGTCTCATTACATCTTCTAGAAAAGAAATCTTGAAATAATAAAAACTAAAAATTCCTTTACAGGAAGAAGAAAGTTTGAAATGAGTTTAATAAACTAATGTCAGTTATGTTTGCTAGGATAACAGGGAAAGAAAACTCTTTTAAATTTGAGTGTGATATTTTTCTTTTGATAAAAATGAAGCTTATTATGAAATGTGTTGATTATAAAATTGATCTTAGATTTTAACAGCCTTCGCCTTACAAAAAATGAATCTGTCATGTCAGTAATTTAAATTCAATAAATAATTTCAAAATCAATAATTTATTTTAATTAATAAATTATTATATTTAATCAAATTATGTTATGCTATGGGCGATGCTTTAGAAACGATTTAAAAACTTATTTCTTTTTAAAAAGTGTTGAGTTAAGATGCTGCGTATCAGGAAAAAATTCTATAACCTTTTTAAAATAGAGGACTTTTACTTAAAACTTTTATTCACATTGATATCACCAATATGAATAAGATGATTTAAATGAGTTTCATTTTTCCTAATTTTTTAAATTAAAAATTAAATAACTATTTTAAATGTAAAGTATAAGCATTTTAAATTCAGAACATCTTTGCAGTTTGCATACATTTTACTTCTCTTTGCTGCTGTTAAGATGATTCTTTTGTTAAGATACAGATAAGTTGAGAATTCCTTTAAGAGTATATGGTTTAAAAACTTGGTATAAAATTATGATATAAGAATAATGATAAGTTTTTATTTTTAAACTTTTAACCAGTAAACAACGATTTTTACCAATACAATATCTTTAAATGCAAATTGACATTAGAAATATTTTAAAGTTAAATAAAGCAAATTTAAACGTTTTTAAAACTAGATCAAAAGAACCCATAATTATAGTAAAAAACAAAATTATACTGTTATTTTTACGTTCTGTATTGTCACTTAGAAAATTAAGAAAAGCAGATATTTGAGTTTTGTAGATTTGTTATTTTTCTATTCTATAAATTAAAATTTGAAACATACTGCTTATCATCATATAACATGAGTACCTGCTATTTATTGTGCATTTTATTCATTGAGTAGCGTAAGGTACTAACTTTGTGAAAAATGGGGGCTGTGAGAATGAATCAGTCTGACACCAAGATGCTAGTTCTAGTCGGAAGCAAAACTGGAAAAAGAAACTGGGATTTTCTGACTCCTATTTAATGTGTGGTCACTAAACCATTTGAAATGATGGTTAGTGACTGTTGCTAATAGAACCTTTATCTGACAGCCTTCTTTCATTTTGCCCACTGATTGCCATCTTACTGTTACCTCAAAAATTTCATTTGTGTTTAAACGTAAAAAAAAAACTAGTAGGACATAGAAATTATAACTCCTATTGGGAAGTCTGCTTTTCCTAAGTGTGCTTTTTAAGTTTGATCTCCATAAATTATTAGTAAGCTGCAGTAGAAGGTAACAAGTTTCAAACTGGAAGGGAATTAGAAAGATTATCTAATCTAGTGTCTATTGGTTTTAATAACATGTGAACTTGTGTTAACGGAAAAATGTGTCTTAGGTCCCAGGAATACATTTGTGAATTCCAGTTTGAGGAACACTGTGTTACGAGTTAAACACAGTCCCTATAAAAAGCTAACACCAGCAAGATCATAAACACTGTCTCAAAATCAGATCCTGAAATTGTGTGATAATAATCAGTGGTAAAATTTGCGAATGTGATTATCCAGAATATAATTATGTTTATATCATAATATGAAGACACCAAAACAAAACAAGACACCTTGTAACACTCTCAGACTCCCCAGAATATGCCCAGAGATCCTCAGGTGTCTGCAGTCTGAGAAATCTTCACCTAAACCAACAATGTTCGTTTTCCAGATCAATGTTTGTCATCCAAAGTGCTTGTGACTTACCCGATTTAAAAAGGCAGTGGAAGATTTGGGACCAAGACAGGAGTCTTCAGTACATGTTGAGTGTGTGCATGTGCATTCTTTATTCAAAGTACCCCCGCCCCTAAAAAGAAAATAGAAGTTTTGGATTCATTATAAAATGTTCTTTGTTTTCCTCGTTAAAATCATTCAACCAACTAACCACAAAATGAATTAAAGCAGTAATGTAAAATTTGTAGAAGGATCTGCATTTGATAATTTGGGGAATTAGAATTTGTATTTATTAATATGAGAATAAATTTTAAAATGTTTTCGGTTGTTTTTGCTTAATTCAAATTTTATTTGCACAAAAGGGAAGTGTGGAAAATGAATTTTAATAAAATATAATCAATATAGTATCCCCAAAACATTTGCTGGTTGTGGTTTTTATGTATTTTTGATACGGGAGGAAAGAAAAAGCCAGACACCTTGAGAGATTTCTTTTTTGGTAATAATATTTGCATATAATTTAGAGTAAGGTGAATAATAAAATCTACTTTTTGGTACGGTTGTTTCATGCACATATTCAACTAAATGCAGTGTTCTACACGGAGCATCTTCTTCACAGAAGGCTCGGCCCTGTTCTAAGTGAGACTGTATCAGATTACTGGTGCCTTGGGTTCTTGAAACTGAAATCACTTAAGTGTGAGGTGCAGTTGTTTCACCACTTGGAATGACTCATATTTCTACATTTCTTTGTGTAGTGTATACTTTGTAAAGTTAAAAAAGATAAAACAGGGTTAAGATATTGAAAGCCAATTTTCTGGCACAGCGGGGGAAAAAGGTACACAGAGAACTTTTCATTGTCGGCTTGGAAAAGAAGTTTGAAATTATGGATGAGAATGATCTAATTGGAGCACTATTGGTTAAAATACTGAGTTACTCTCATTGTTCTATCAATGAATGTAAATTTTATGTGAAAGTGAGCACACACACAAAAAATCTGTTCCCCAAGCACTATTTTGTGGAAGATATCTGGGAGCTCTTATAAGCTCATGGTTAAACTTACAAAATTGCTCTGAATGTTATAATATTTTAAGAGAATGATTATTAACAATAAAACTACTGTTTTTAAATATATTCAGATCTGAGAGCACCATTTGCTGTTTTCCTCAAATTTTAAATTATTACCCATATTAAAAATAAAAAATATTGATGAGAATACAGCACTATGGAGAGTATTTTTTTACGTTTATAATTGGTACTTTTAGAGAGAAAAATTATATCATGCTATATAAAATTGAATATCAAATAAAGGATCTTATTTTCGCTAGGCATAGGAAGTGTTGCTGGCATTATTAAGATTATTTTTAGTTACCCGGATAAACTAATGGATATGAAATGTATTCATATTTTGTTTACATAATTTTTCAGTCTACGGCAGGTGGTTCTTCCATCATACGAGGAGTTCAGTGTCCACATCTTAAGTTTGCCTCATGCCTGTTGCCTCTTTTTTGTAAAGCCATTTATTTTATTATTTTAAAAAATATACATTGTTAACATTCTTAGTTTGAAGTAATGTTAAACTGGCAAAAGTGATTAGGAGACGGCTTTATATTGATTAAACATAAAAATTTTTAAATTTATATTTATCAATAGTTCCTTCATAAAATTTACATAAATGCTTATAAATCTAAACCAATGCGTCGGCTCCAAGAGCTGCTTTGCATTCCTGTTGGATTTAATTTGGAGGTTCGCTGGGAGGCAGCCCAAGCTGGGCTCTGGTGTGTTTGGCTCCCTCTGGGGAAGATTTCTTGGTGGGTCATCCAGAGCTTCACTGTCTCTTCCCCTCTAATTTTACATTCCCATCTGTTCTCACTTTGGGGTGAGGGAACTTTTTCCTTCTTTCATTTGACACATACCGAAACTTGGAGATGCGCTTCTTTAGGGAGTTATGCATTCCATTGTGCACCCTGGTTTGTGGAAAAGTGCAAAGACAACAGAGTTTAGGTAATTCATTGACCTCATTGTGAGTCTGAGCGAAGATTTCGTTGTTTCAGAAAATTATATGAATTAATTTTATGTGGTGTCTGTATTCCTTGGCTTTAAATAACCACAGCTTTAAAAAAAAACCTTTACTGTGCAAAAAAAAGTGTTAACCTCATCTATTTTAATATTCTTCCAAATTAATTTATATGTTCTAGAATGCAATCTTCAAAATAGGCATTATTTATTTAAATATTAACACCAAGTAATTTGTGATATTTTAGCAGCTTTAAATAGCATAATTTCTTTAAGCCTTGTAGAAACCAATCTCTACTATTAATTTCCAACACATTCCCATAATGATGAAATAAATTTTGACTCTGATAGGCTTGTGATAATAAAAAAATAATGGTTTATTTTTTTTTCTGGATTCAATGTTTAACAAGAGCGCCAAAAATTTTAGGGATTGGGGTTGGCTTAAAGGTTTGATTTTTTTTTTTTTTTTTAACACATGGAAGCAATAAATCTGCAATAAAGAGTCCAATTGGAGACGATGGTAAGTTTCCATACCATTGTTCCATCCCTTCTGTGCGGTCTCTTTTTCTAGAATAAGAACTCAGGAATTGCGCATGCTGACATATATTTTTTAAGGCAATCACATCCTAATAGTTTGAGAGGATTTCTATAGGGTTTACACGAATCATTGTGTAAAAGGAAATTTTTGTAATTTTCAAGTAAAGGAATTTTGCTTTTCTCACTGTTTCATGTTAGAAAGGATTATACAGAAGGATCTTTTTCTTATTAATTTATATTGCTACCAAATTTAAGAGCACTCTATTTAAAGACATCAATCTGAAGAAGAGGAAAAAGGTCCTAAATGGTCTTGAGTTTTTGCCACCATGGAAAATAGGTTTAATTAAAATGACCATGTTGATAAAGTAAGAGTCATCAGAGAAAACTCTCAGAGTAGTAATTTGATGAATAATTTACTGCGATTTTGTAAT